AGTACTTCCCCCTCACCGAAGTTATTAAAACCATCTCGTAAGCAACGAAGGACTCTCAGTTCCGCATCAGACATCATGAGGATCGCGTTTGTTGACATTCAAGGCTTTACAGTTGACGGATTATTCGTACCTAAAGAACTATGTATCGAAATTGGTTTCAAGAAAAGTCATTACATCTTTACACCTCCGCAACCTTTTTCTACATTAAATACTAAAGACAAGAAAACTGTCGCTTACTTGGAGAAGAATTTCCATGGGCTTAAATATTCTTCCGGCGACGTTAAATATTCCAAGTTAAATGAAATAATTAAAAATAAGGTGATATATGCGGCTGACTATGTCTACGTTCGTGGAGAACAGAAAGCAAACTTTTTACTCAAGAAATGTCACATTTTTGGTGTTTTTCCCAACATTATTGATGTTTGCAAGTATGATGGTACACCGTGTGCTACTGGAAACTTTGTTGCTGATTCCAATCCATGCCACACCAACGGACAATTTTCCTGTACCCAGAGAAATGTTGAACGTCTACGCCACTGGTTTTCAAATATCATATTACCTATGTAGTTTTTTCTATTTTCAATAAAATATTAAACGTATTATTGTAGTTTTATTGAAAATACCTCTGGTTTGCGAAATAATTGTCAGAATGTCTATACTATTTTCATTTTGAACGGTATCATCCTGTATAATAATAACAGTACATCGTATACAGGTTATGAGACATTCTGACCGACCGACCGACCGACCAGAGGAGCCCACCACGCTATTTAGGTCACGCCTTGCTATATACGATTTAACGATATACCGTCGGTCCATCGATCCGCTATTTTTCGATGCACCCCTGTATACACGTTGCCCCCCGTAATCCACGCCAACACCAGACAGGTGCGACATCGGCGCCATCTATGCGCGAGATGCCCAACCCATCAATGGCAGCTGTCCAATGACGCATAGATTCCGTTAGGTTTGTACAGCGCCAAACAAATCGGCGCCATCTATGCGCGAGATGCCCAACCCATCAATGACAGGTGTCCAATGACGTATGACAGATGACGTTTTAACGCCATCTATGCGTGAGATGCCCAATGACGCATGACAGGTGTCCAATGACACACAGATTCCGTTTGGTTTGACAGCGCCATCTAGCGGCGGAATCCCCAACTCATGAATTTCGATTACAGATTCCGTCCAACAACCTGTCAATGGCGCGCGACGCCAGCGCCTCTGGTGGCGGATTTTGGAAGTTTTGAGACCGAATCCCCATAAGACATCTACTGACGTAGTCATACAACTGATTGTAAGTCATGTTAAAGTTGGCTTTAATTCCAATTTCTGCTTTGACATGCTCGAGTGGAATGTCTCAATTTCTAGACAGATGTTTACGAATGAAACGATATTGCTATAGAACTTAATTGCGACACCACGTAAAAAAAACAGACTTGGTGAAAAATCACCACACCTGGCCGCCCTGATCAATTTCTAAGCCAATGATGGAAATAAGAGGGTTGCATAAGTCTGGTTGCCTATACGTTCAGCTTGACGCAAATATAAATAAAATAGTGATACTGCGTTTTTCGGCTTGGTAGTACTGCTTATCCGTTAGTGCATTACTGGAAATTGAGCCTCATGTGTTCTGTAATTGAAGTAGTTAATTCAAAATTCAGATATTCGGACAGGAATATAAGAAAAAACCTTTTCGCGTGGGCCTTTTAACTCTGTAAGCAAATTTGACAAAAATGCTTTTTAACGAACAAAATGAGAGAAAAGCGGTTTCATTTGATTGAAAGTAGTTATCTATCTGTAAAAGTGTTCAAATTTGTCGCTTTTGAGTTAAGCTGTGTTAGAGCTTAAGCGACGATATAATCCAACGAAAACTATTAGCTCATTAGGTTGGCCAGAGACGGACCAGCCATAATCACAATATATTTTTTGCACATTTATACAGAGTGGCCAATATACAACTGACTATCTAAATTGCGCGCCATTTTTGATACACGCATTTAAGTAGGTGGCGCCGTAGTAGTTGTTAAAAGCACATGTGTCCAATTCATCATGGAGTGCTACACGATCCCACAATGCATCCGTATTGTTAAAACGTTTTACTTAAATAATGAGTCGATTGTTGCAACGATTCGGAAGCTACGACAAGATTTCGGTCGAACTAATGTGCTCAGTCTCAACACCATTCGTCACTTTGTGAGGAAATTTGAACAAACAGGTGAAGTTAAAGACTTGCCAAGGTGAGGCCGTGTTCTAACTGTTCGTACTCCGGAAATATCGAGAGAGTTCGTGAAAGTGTAGTGGAGCACCCTGAGATGCCTACCAGACTTCGTTCTCAAGAACTGGGTATTCGTCGCACATCATTATGCACTATTTTTCTTTTACACTAGACTTGCATTTGCCGCCATACAAAATTCAGTTAACTCAAGAACTATAGTCTAGTGACCATGAAAGACGCCGACAATACAGTCAGACTAATACCCAAAATAACGATTTTTACCGACAACTGATAATGAGCGATGAATCAAAATTCGATATGAACGGATTTTTTTAAAAGCAGAATTGTCATATCTGGGCATTAGAGAACCCTCGTGTCATCCATCAACGACCACTACATCCTCGTCGAGTCACAGTTTGGTGCGCTGTTTGGTATGGGGGTGTCTTTGAAGACGCTGCAGGTAATTCTCTAACTGCGCTAGCGCTACCCTGATATGGTGCAAAACATATGGTTCCAACGAGACGGAGCAACTTGTCACACAGCTAGCGAAACAATGAATCTTCGGCTAACAATATTTCCGGGACGTTTAATTTGTCGATTTGGTAATGTAAACTGACTGTCTTTTTATGAGGATTTTTGAAAAAAGTTTTTATGTCAACAAACCAAATACCGTAGAGCAGCTAAAGAACAATATTACGGAAGCGATTGAAAATACTCCTCCCGAACCCTACCAAAAAGTGATGGAAAATGTAATCAGGAGGACTCAGGTTTGCGCTGCTTCTAGGTGCGGACGTTTGTCTGATATTATTTTTCATACATAATTTCTAAGTTACAATAAAATATTAAGATGAAATGTATTTTATTTCATTTCACAAATATTCAAGATACAATCCAGTCAGTTACATATCGGCCACCCTGTATAATAGTGACTTTAAAATTATATTTTTGGAAATTGATACGTGCCTGACATCTGACTAGATCAATGTAATGCTACCAGCGGTTATTTTCAAGAAATTTATACATGTTTGATTTCGATACTATCAAGTGGTTGCGAGCCTATGACAGATCGCCTAACTCGACTGGCGCTTTTATATGTCCATAAAGATGTACATGTCGATACGGAGTCATACATAAATTTGAAAGAAGGCAAAAAAGAATTAATTTTGTTATTTAACAATAAAAACCTTCCTTTTAAATTAGAATTATTGTTTAAATCACATTTGTTTTTAATTTTTAAATGCAAACCTCTCCCCCTCCCTGTGTGACCCTCCTAACACAAATACTGGATCCGCCCTTGTCCAGTACTACTGTTTTTCCCTAGTACATCAAAAATTGTTTTCCTCAATTGTACTAACCTTAAAAAGTTGAAACTTCTATCAAAAAATATGTAATTTGACTATATAGAAAGAATATGTAAAACAATGAACAAACGTTTATTGATAAAAATGTATCACTTTGCATCATCTTAAAAATATGATTGTAACGACTCTCCTAATACTTTTTCCATTTCCCTAATGGCTGATTGAGAAGCAGCTTCAACACCTTCCTCTTCATCTTCAAGTAACTCTGCTAAGAACGGTACAGTCTCCGGCAATAACGGCAGGAAATCTTCGCCTAGTTTCTTTACAACTTCTGTCAAACAATGCAAGCTCACCAGTCTGATTTTAGGCTCACCACTTCGCATTTTCAGCAGAATCTGGTAGTTCATTTGCTTCCACAGAGAATCGTCAGCTGTGGCAAATGCAAAATGCACGATGCAGGGTGTAAGAATTTTTTCATTGCGGGTCACGAGTTGGTCGATACCTCCTAAAATGTAAGGTACTCCGTAATATCATTGATTAACGTATTCTCCAAGTAGCTCCCCAACCCTATGAGGTACGTAGACATTGACATAAAATTTCCATCGTCACAACAATGTTGCCAAGTAGGGTGGCAATAATTCCCTTGAAGGTAATAAAGGAAACTCTTAAACATGATATCAACCTTTTAAGGAATGGTCACCCCTCAACCTCCCTCATAATCATTTCTAAGATATGATATTCTCAGAACAGTTTAACAACGCAAAAGAAATCCCATAACCTCAAGCAGCAGTTTTAGGAGCAGCGCCGGCACTTAAAGACGGTGGTGGACGCGTATATATATATATATAGATAGTATCTATGCTTATTTTCGCCCAGGCAGGGCTTTCAACTGGATTGGGTATCTTCTGGAGTAATATCTTAATTCATGGGAATATACAGTGGTATGATTATTACACAATATAAGCATGCTAATGAGTATAAATGACAACACGGGCTTGATGCTTCCATCTGCTAAAGAAGGGGGTGTTCAATCACTGATCACAGTTTAGCCACAAAATAATAAAATTACCTAAAGCATTCTCCAACTGGTCAACCAATGGCTGCATTAAAATATTGAATCTGTCTTTGTTCACAAACTGCTGATTGTCATATGTAAAGACTGCATCTAAAGTGCTCAATACATTCTCTAACAGAAGTTTGTTCTTCTCTTCTTCAGTAAAGTACATTTCCTGGGTTTTAGATATATTGCAGGCGTCCAGGATCTCAGCAGCATTTTTCAAAAATTGGCCGGCAAATAAAACAAATAGACTTTTCAGAGAATGCGCTATACCACTGGACAGTCTAAAACAAATAAAAAAAAACGATCAGACTTGGGAAGTTAAATGTCACGAGAGGGCAAAATATTCGGTTACTTACTTGTAAAAAGTAATTGCTCTTTCGCTCCTTATATTCCCTCTGACCGCCCAGTCGTACAATTTATAGTAAAACGGCCTGAACGAGCTTTCTGACAGTTTCAAAATTAATGCAGATAATGCACGAACCACATGACTTTCAACTTCATTTGCATCAACTCGGCTAACCTCAATCTCATCCCTGAACTTCAAGACATTCAAGAAAAAGCTGGTGAGTTCAGGAAGAGTTGAGCTCAATTCTGCACTCTGCAAATACGCTAGATTTTCGCCTAGTATATCCATGAGAGCGCCAATGCCTGTAGACGAGACAAAAATATGTTTTCTAATACATCTTGAAGACATAACCATATAGTTATAACGCATTATTTGATGAAATCGATAGTAAATATATAATATTTAAAAACTTACCCTTGTAGGATTTATTTGCGGCCAACTTTTCATAACAATCTTCCAAAGCTGGAAGCAATACCCTTGCTGGAATTACCGAACCAATTTTCTTTTTCATTATGACAATTTTAGAAACAAAAGACTGCACCTTCTGTTCTTCACCACCTTCATCCCATTTTGCAGCAAGCTGGCATATTTCCGTTAATAATTTTTCGAGATACGGGCTAAGAAACAGTGGCACACTACAACAAATAATATCCTTGTTACATAGGTAGCTTGAAAACAATACTGACTTCAGATTTCGAATCAGAATAAAAAAACACACTTGTGTGGTCGGAAACAGCTTATCCAAATTTCAATCTGGATCTAGATAAACTTATTTTTCGTTGAAATGTCAGTATTTCAAATACGGACCTGTCAAAAATCCTCTCTACAGTCGTTATCGCACTCCGCAGCAACACACTTGGAGTTTCCTCACGTTTACACTTTTTCAAAATTTTGGTTACGGTCGGCATGAAGTTGGGCAAAGCAGAAATAGCATGAGCTCGAAGATTCACGCATAGTTCGGCAAGACACAGTAAAACCTATAAAAATCAGAATATTTTACACTTCGTAACTAAATACAAATATACACTATTATACATACTGAAGCAAGAACATTATTTTGTGCTTTGCCAGACTGCAAAATGTCCGTGATGAATTCCAAAATAGGAACAAACTTTTCGGGTTCCTTGACTGCTAGTGCTTTTACCAGTAATTTTAATGACAAAAGTGCTGTCTGTACGATGGTCTCTTGCTCTTGGTCTATCTGGAATAAAGTAACTTTTTTTAGCACAAAGTTCATCAAAAATAGCGTCAGCTAAGTTGACTCTGTACTTCCCATGCAACGCTGTCATCAGTTCTTAAAGGATTATGTTTGGCTCAAGTTAGCCCTTCTGAGAAAAAGTTATCTTCGAACATGTGTATAACAAATGACCATCCTCTTCCCCCTGAGAGAAATTTCTGCGGTGCACATGATAGTTGCTATAACTAATACCGCGTGGATGACGATACTACGACTTTTACAGCATACACCCAGCTGCACCACGTCGCGTTTACCGACACGCAACTGTTGGAGATAAGTTTCAAGGGTAAATGTACGGGAACATCTATGATGAGTGAAATATGTCTAATAGGTGCGTAGAATTACTGGGGTTGGAGGCGTGTACATATACCAACGTCAATAACTATATACCCTCTTCCACCCCCTGTAACCCCTAACCATCAATTTTTAAACCCTACAAAAATGTATCCGAAAATAATTAGGAACCTCTGAAACGTCAAGAAACGAAGTTTGAGCGATTATTATTTTTTCATTTTTGGCACTGTTCCCCGCTGCCACTTGACCGATTGACAAAAACGTCGAAGCTTTTTTGTCCTCGGCATAGCAGTAACCTTGTGTAAAAATTTGATTCAGTTCCGAGCAGTACTTTCCAAGTTTTAAACTATCCAACTATTAACGGACAAACAGACAGACCGACGGAAATTATTTTCGTGACGTACATGTTATCTATAACATCAAACAAACATATCTCATTTTAGTAGTAGGCGTGGGAAGTAAAAGGAACAAAACTTTGTAATTTACCTCTTCATACCATAATACTTCAAAAGAAATTAACATACCTCTTCGTTCAAGGATTCCACAATAGAAATCAACGGTGGCATGATACTATAAATCTCACTCTGATCACAATCTTCGAAAAATTGCAGGTTATATTGAAGTTTTGTATTGAGCAACTCAAATACCCTACGTCTAACAGTGTTTAAGTTATGTACCATCAGCCCTTTGGTAACCAGAAGGAACATCTGGGACGTTACCAGAGCATTAACACTATCCAAGATGTCGTAGCTCAGATGCAACACCACCTAAAAAAGTTGGAATCCAAATGTTTCATTAGTCGAATAAATTTTGGTTTTATCGCATACCTTCCAGTAGTGTGCCTGGGGAGTGTTGGCAGACCTATCAGTAATTTTAGATATTCTTTGAATATATTGCAGAATATTTATAATAATCTCTTTGAATAAATCTTCTAGTTCCAGCTCTTCATCTTTTGATAACGTAGCTACTTGAGTAACAAATTCCTGGGAGGACAGTAAGTTGGTTGTAAATTTCAAAAGGATGTACTTGAAATGTCTGAAATCCTTCGGAGTTCGAGTAGTGACACTAAAGTGCCCCTCAGTATTGTCAACCTGAAACAAATAGAGAATGTGTAATATCAACGTTTCCTAAAAATAATATTTATGAGTAGTTTACCCATTCCTAAATACACATAAAGTGAAATATCCTCCCACGGTGGCATCGTGGTGTGTGCCCACGAGACGGTGTGGTGCAACTAGAAAGCTACTTAGATACCTTACCAACCTGATTTGTTTCACTTGAATACCGCCTGATGCGGCATCAAGTTATGAAAAAACAAAGAAACAGTTTCGTGAGTAGGATTGAATTTGCATGTAACAGTCGATCCTGAAAGATGGTTCCCAGCTGGTGCTACAGACTAAATGGGTCTATATCTCTCAAGTTGTTGATTACTAAACATACTCGATGTTGCGGATGCGCTCATCCGAAAAATCGTATGTAGTTACTAAGGTAACTAAGGTGACGAAACAATATATAGTTCGAGTCACATAACTTTTAATGCACGTCATAGGCTTGAAATCACCACTGATGCCATACATCTTCAATATTGGTATGTTGTAGGAATTCTCAGCATTCGTCATCTTTCTCATTCTCTCTGCATACCATGTAAGTTGAGAGTGACGGAAAAATTACGTATTGAGGTAAGTCGGAGATAAGTCGATATTGAAATACTGCGGAACACATTACAGAAGATAGGCTTTGACAATATGAACTGTCATGTCAAATGGAAAACATACTGTGGTATCCTAATATCATGTTTCCTGTATTGTGGTATTTTTAACCTCATAGTTGAACGTCAAAATGACGATATGATATTATTTACGACATGCCGTAAACTTGCGAATTCGACAAAATAAGCCTGTGCATAAGCGGCAACCATGTAGACATATTTGTAGTCGGTGAGACATGCTAATATATCTTCTTCATTTTCTAACACATTAAATTTATATGACTTGCCATTTTACGTAAGTCGACCACCAATCGTGGCTTTTTGTGACGTGAATAAAAAGATAGGTGATTTCTACTATAATCACCTGCATTGCGTTTTCATCCTTTTCGTCAGGTAAATCTTTCAGATACTTCAACAGCTTGATACAAACTCCAATTACGGTTTTCGGTGGAAATTGTCTGCACAAATCAGCAGCCATATCGAGTCTCTTCTGTGCCAAATCCGACTTTTTTTCCTGAGCACTTCGTAAAACCTGAGACTCAAAAACGACCAAAAGGAAAATATGCAGATTCTCCTTTTCATCAATCTTCTCTAATAATTGTTTGTAAAGTGGACGCCTTCTATGTTCTGGAACATCTAACATTGCATCTACGAACACTCGGAGCACACTGCCTAGCCTTTCAGGATTGTTGTCTTTAGTGAGGATTGGAACCACCGTTTCGATAATCTTCGAAATTACCTAGAATCAAAAATAAGATTTAAGTTTCCGATCAAGTTATGTCATATTCCTCAAACCAATTAGTGGAGATCCATTAGACGCAAAAACACGAAATCCTCGGATCTGGGTCCATTAAATAGATTTTTAAGATATATTTAGTGAAATGCGTTTAAAATACTGTACATCGAAAAGTTTTTGATTTTGATTATTAATTATATTTTATTTTAAAATAAATTTCTATGTATACCATTATTCAGGTTTATAATATATACTTCATTAAACTTAACATAAAAGTTCATGTAAACCTATGTATTTGATGGCATCATTACTTATTATTTATTTCAATTTATATATTTTCAATATCTCTTAAATTACTTGGGTGGTTTAAATACAATACAATCTACGATATACATTAAAATACAATATGTATTGATTATATAGGACTGTATTATCCCAGGGGCGGCGCTATCGAATTTTAACAGGATATACAGGGTGATTCACATGACGTGACCAAAAATGAAACATCATACACAGTGCCGCATTTTAAGGCGGGTCTTCTATGTAACATTTTTTCCTCGAGGGCTACATTAAAAGGATACGGGGTGTTGAAGTTTAAAAGTAAAAAGAGATACAGGGGATTAGTGGCATTTTTCCAAATAAAAATAGTACGTCACTGTTTTTTTTTTCGAAACGAGCAATTTTTCGAATTTTACCTTCAATTTGCTACAAATAAAAATACAAAAAAAGAAAAACAAATTAGATAATCAAAGCTTTATTTCAAGAAATGTTCAAGAAGACCACCATTCTGACGGATACAAGTCGGCATCTTTTTAATAAAGAAAAACGTGTTTCATCAAAATTTGTTTTGGCTTGAATTTGATGAAACCGATTATCTATTCTGTGCAACAGCATTAATTTGTTCAGCACACACTAGTTGTTCAAAAGCACCCCACAAAAAGAAATCTAGGCGGCTCAAATCAGGAGACCTCGCAGGTCAATGTACGGGTCCATTTCTGCCAATCCATCGTTGTCTAAAATGATTATTTAACCATGCGGTTATGTCACGACGAACCTGAAGTGGGGCACGGTCGTGCTGATACCACATGCCTACTCTCGTTACTAACGGAACATCATATAACACACTTTCTATGTAATTCTCTAGCCATTGAAAATGCCGCACGAGACATTACTAGAAAATCTGTATTGAAACTAGTGGATTCTTACAGAACGGGGATTTTATAACGACCAAATATGTTCATTATGAGCATTAAAGGTTCCACTTCTCGTAAAAAGTAATTCATCTGACCACAAAACCAAATCAACAAAATCTGCATTTTGATTATGCATTTGCAGTAACCACTCTAAAAATTTCGAAGATCACTTCGTCGCCGGGTTGTAGACATTGCACATTTTGCCGATGGTAAGGATTAATTTGTTTTATTTTTATTTTTACGAAAACAGTGCACTCTAAGAAAAAACACAAGAGTAATTATTTGTAGCAAATGTAAAGAATTATAATACTAGAAACAAGAGCTCTCAAATTACTTTACTTACCCTACAGAAAGACATCATGCTAGGGTCATTTATCTATCAGGCTCCACTATTATATAATAACATACCAGCAAAAATTAAAAAATTTAATAACATGAATTCAAAAAAGAACTGAAAGGTTGGTTAAGGGAAATTCCAAATTACAACATACTATCACATATAGGTCCACACACTTTGAATAAAAAAAATCTTGCATTCAAATCATAGAATTAAAATTTATAATACAATGCTGCATATGCTGTTTAACATATCATGATTATGTATTCTGGTAACCAACATTATTTTTATTTAATGCACTTAAGTATTTATTTTTTTCCGAATATAATAGCTCTTGATAAATATGTATATACTATACTATATAATATTACGTCACTAAAACAAATGACACCCTCCAAGCATAAGGGGAAAAGAGATTTGTCCGCGGCTTGAGTTCAATATGTACGAGAGAGAAGCGCGTGAAGTTTGTATCCACACCTGTTATAAAGAGATAAAAGCCGGCTGGAGAGGGACGGTCACCTTCACATTGGCTAGCAACAGTGACGCAGAAGTCGTGCAATCTGCCGCGTTATCAAAATGTTACACCAGAAAATGATCGCACATGCTTTCACAGTAGTTAAGAATACTATCAAACCCAAGAAGGAAGCCTGTTTGAACATACTTAATATTTTGTTCAACAATCAACACATCCTGAGTTATTGTTACATTTTGCGACAACGATCGGTTAGAAACTTTAACAAATACCATTACGCAATACAAATTTTTACTGCCTGCGTGTACGCAGGTGAAAACCATTTCGAAGCAGGTAAGCAGGACGACACTCCCCAATGAGCGCTAGATGGGTACTGACCAAAATCGCTCATCTATCAGCATATTTTCAACATGCATCTTAAATCAAGGAACTGGTGTGACATATTGGCAACGCGGCAGATTGCCGCACCAGCGTTGCTAGGCAACACTACTCTCGAACGTAATGAACTAAAGCTGTCAGAAAAATTTCGTTTTCAGTATATATAGATAATATCGCGCCAACCTCGTATGTGGCAGCTCTGCTTGCCTGCTCCGATCAAAAACCAAAGACGCAATATTTATAAATAACCCCGTGGCACACCGCATATGCGACCAATAGGCGATCCGCCTGCTGAAAGAAAGATTCTAAGTTTTAAGGGCAAACGTACCGGAAATCTGTAATGTATGAAATATGCCTAATAGGTGCGTAAAGTATTGGGGTTGGAAGTGTATTAATATACTAACTACTGGAGAATAAAATTATCTAAAGAATGAAACTCCCAGAATAAAACTTAAATGTGGGAGTGCTTCTGAATCACCCTAGATTCACTTCTGAGGAAACGAGAAAAACAACAAAACACACATTTTTTGATGAAGCATATGAAAATACTGGAAAATACTTGATTTGATAATATATTTCATATCCTTGTTTCATCAAAATCAGTAAGTTCCCATCTTCTTTATGAGTCCCGATATATAAAACTGGAGTGATCTAGGAACACTTCACACCTTCCTATTTATTCCTGTGAGTTGCACATTCCAATAAAATATCAAAAATCTATTCAGTGGATCAAGGTTCCAACGTTTCAGCCTAAGATCACTCCACGATATCTATACGGCTCCTAAACTAACTGCTACAATAAGTAAAACTTACCTGAAAACTATATGAATCATCATGCCTTAGCACTGAAGAGCCCATGAACGTAAATATGGTTATCATGTGCAGCAACACTTGCTTTGGCGCGAAATGTGCCGTGTGCGCTAAAAGTAACAGCGCAAAGTGATGGGTTTGAGGATTTTGAGAGGCCCTGATACACTGCACCACCAACTCTACGTTGAACACCGATTCGGGTAGTTCATTTCCGCTTCTTTGACAGCAGTTCAAAATGGCGGCCAAAAGTAGTTGTTTGGGGTATTCGACGGCAGCTTGCTCGTCAAAGTCCAAACACCGTTTGAGCAAGTCGAACAGAACGGGAAGTAATGCTTCAAAGCTGAAAGAAGATCTTTTTTATAGGTCAAAACTCAAGCTGACTTTACCCTCCCAAGACTGGAATCCTGGGAGCGCCACTGATGACCATAAAATATATTAATATTGTGCTGATGAAGAAAACCTTTGTGATTGGAATGTTTACAGTAAAGAAGGTTCTGTCAATACATATGGTTTTATTGGCCAGACAAGCATGTAGGATTATTAGCTTTCATATGTTGTTGTTTCTGAAAAGAAAATGTCCAAGCCTTCAGGTCACCCTGTATATTACGGTTGCCCATTGCTGTACTTTAATTGACAAATCGTGGCGACAATGTACTTTGAGATCATCGAATTCGATAAATATATTTCAAATTACCTTCTAATTTTCTTCTTGTCTTGTATGTACTCCAGAACAGTGACCCCCTTTTTCCACTGTATAGTATCCAGAATATCAACAGTCGGTATGACACTGGTCCTGCGCCGTTTAGCCACCTCACTGGTTTTCGAGGACTGAACGTCCCGCATAGCGACCAACTGGTCCAAAATATGGGAAGCATCCAAATCCAAATGCTTGAAAATCCGACTGACAGTCGGAGGGACTTCCGGATGATGAGCAACAGTTGCGAGCTCGATTATTACATCTAAGAGACGCTTGCAGTCCTCAGGATTTAGCACCTTGAATACCTAGAAAAGTTCATCAGTTAAAAATCTAAATTGGATGCTTAAGGATATAGCTGACTCACCTCCTTATCCAACTGATTTAGCGCAATAGTTGACAAACACACTTTATCGTTATCTTGTTGCCATACCATAACATTGTCAGCCTTAATACAAGTTTCTATAAGCTTCCAGGAGTTTGATTTCGAATCTAGGTTTTTCAGTATGTCTGCTTCAATTCGGTTGACGATATGCACCAAAATATTCGCGATGTATGAATGCAGACTCTGACCGAACTTCTTGAGTAACTTAAGGCCTACTGGTGCCAGTCTTTCCAGTATCTCCAAGTTATTAACCATCGAAAATATTTTCAAAATGTTCGATACAAGATACGATGGAAACTGTTCGTCGCAAGCTATTTCCAAAAAGCGTTCTTTACACGATTTCAAATCAGCTGCGTGTTTCTTCAATTTGGAGTTGAAAATGTTGAAGAAAATCAAAGGAGTTTGCTCTTGGTCCACAGTAATTTCTTCCTTTTGCTTAATAAGGTATTCCAAAAACGTGTAGTATGGAGATGCTTTTTCCTTGTACTTGCTAATCAGAAGTTCAATTATTTCGAATACAGTTCTTCTGTCAGCCTCACTTGGGCTCAACAAAGTCGCCATTAAAAATGGAACAGTGAGTTTGTCAAGGGCTAGAAGATCTTCCTCTTCCGGAATATTATTTATTTGCACTTTTATAAATTTCAAACAGTTAGTTACTATATTCTTGCTGAGCGACTCATTTCCACAAATACAGAGATTCAGAAAGTATACAAATTGTGTGTCTACACAACCGTTAAAAAAACGATCCAAAAATAGTTTCAGCAAGGGTTTGAATGAATATTTCAATAACAACTCAGTTGAAAGCACAAAAAACTCATTCTGAGGCATATTTTCGTTGAAATCTTTAAGATGCACTTCCCAATCAGGAATTTTCAACTTCTGAATAAGATTTTCTAAGCATCTTATGTAAGATGTTGCTGGAAGTTTTCCCTGTTCAGCTAATTTAATATATGTTCCAAAATTGTTTGCAACTTCAAAATTCCGCTTATGGGTACTACTATTATTCCAATGCTGATATAGCATCTCTACTAAACTAGCACCAAGTTCTAAAGAAGATTCTTCTGGTAGCATTGAAGCTGAGATCAAAAATGCCACATATTTATGTCCATTGTCATCAGGCAATGTTCCAGCTACCTTAAGTAACTTTTTCACCATGTCTTCACACTTGTTTAATTGCAAAGATTCAAGTATTAGTTTTTCAAATGTCACGATATCAGAGGCTTCTTCTAGTTGTTTTACAAACGGTTTTAAAACATCATTATCCGAAAACAGAGTATATTTTACAAGCCCCTTAGCCAATAGTAGTTCTTTGTCTGTTAAAGGTAGCAAGAATGGCAACATGGTAACAAACATCTCGCAGTCATCTTGGAAATTGCAACATACAGCCGTCACCTTTTTCTTAATTTTTTTCCACTTGTCAGGATCTCTACGACACTTTGCCGCTAAATCAATCCAAACATTTTTCAGGGACTTTACATCAATAACTTCAGATTTTAATATAACAACAATAGTATCAGCTACCACATTCACATGATCATCATTCAACCTGTCAACGAAGGAAGTTCTTACAAACTCCTTTTCACTATCTCGCAACTTGGAGTAATTATTCTTCAGATATTTAACAGCTTGGCCCCTGATCTCGGGATTTGCATGATATAATTTCTGCAGTATGTCAACTTTCCCCCTGTAGTGTTCAGTGTTACTGAGTATCTTGGACAAACAACGTTTTTTCTTTTTAGCATGTTCGTCCGACAAAGACGTTTGTGACAAAATGCGACAAACTTCTTTATCAAAGTAAGTTGGGTACTGCCTCTCCATGGTTTGGAGTATCTCAGATAGCCAGTACTGAACAGTATGCGTTAAGTTGGCTTTGGGATACATTGCATCCAAGAGAGAGCTGAAAAATTGAAAAGAATTCAGGTTTATCATCAATTGAAGGGGTTAGAGCAAAAAGGGTATAAGTGACATTTTTTAATTTTTGTGTTTATGTATGTAAAGTGAAACTTAAGAGTGTATTTTATCAGTGCAAAACTGGTATAACTACCGTTTGCCACTACTAGGGCCATCTGTGGGTAATCAAATATACTCACTTAGTAATTCGACATTAGTCTAGAGGGCAAAATAGGTATAAGTGCACTTGTATCGTTTCTGCGCTGAGTTATTATGATTTCTTGTGACTGGTAAACATGTAGTAGTTTTTTGGTGTGCAACAGTTTTGAGTGTTTTGGCGTATTTCTTCAAAGGACAAAGTTTTTGAAGTAGTGTGCTTTGGTTTGTGGGTTGTTTATAGTCTTTTTTTGAGATGGCTGCGACCATGGACAAAGGTAAGAGTGGAAAAACGGATAAATAAGTTTTTTTGCATTATTATTTTAATTTTTTAGATAACAACGACTCTGAACCAGATCCCTATGATACTGATGAAGGCGATGATTATGTTCCTGATGATCAATCTGATTCAAGTGAGAATGATGAGACTGAGCACGTTACACCAAGAAAAACAAAAAAGCGTAGAAAAAACATCGCTTTGTGGAAAAGGAATGAAAAAAAGAGACTCAGAACAGCAGGAAAGATGTATGAAGGGCACAAAGGGAAAATTCGTCCAGAGAGGAACCTTAGACCTTTCGTCCATACATGCAGGTATAGCTGTAGCAAAATGTCCGAGGCAGAAAGGCAAACCTTTTTTGATAAATTTTATAACATACCTACATATGACCTGCAAACAGCATTTTTAGCTTCTTGCATACAAAAATGCGAAGTTGTTAGACGAAGCCAAAGAGCAGAATGTAACCGTAGGTTTTCTACCAAAATTATGGTCTCAAATATGCGAGTTTGGAAAGCATTTTTCCTCAAAACGCTTGATATAAGCAATAGACGATTCACTACAGTATGCGCGAAAGTAGACAGATTCGGTATATGTGGAACAGATCAGAGAGGAAAAACTTCAAGTGCAAACAAAATGAATGAAAACATTCGAAATGTGGTTATTCAACACATAAAAATGTTTCCTAAATATAAAAGTCATTATTCCCGGAAAGACAATGTTAACACTCGTTACCTGTCATCAGATCTTAATATAACAAAGATGTTTTTTTTTTTGTATAAAGAATACTGCAATGTCAATCAGAAGCCACTCGTCAAGTTATCTTACTACCGTCACATATTCAACACAGAATTTAACCTTCGATTTCATAAGCCCCATAGTGATACATGCTCAAAATGCGACAAGCTGAACAATATCATCAAAAACTCAAATAATGAAAACGAGGTGAGTATTTCCAAAGTGAGCTTAGAGTTGCATCAGAGGAAAGCTCAAAAAGCATGTGAAATGAAAAAGATGGACGCTGAAAATAGTAAAGCCTTAGACGATACCATCGCAATTTGCTTTGATCTTCAACAGACATTACCAACGCCTTTGCTCACTACTTCAAAAGTTTTCTACCTTCGACAGCTCTGGACGTACAACTTCTGCATACATAATCTGTGTACTGGAGAAGCTCGCATGTACACGTGGGATGAAACTGTTTCTGGTAGAGGTTCCCAAGAAATAGGATCATGCTTGCTGCATTTTTTCAAGTCACTTCCCTCAAATATCACAAAAATAATAGCCTACAGTGACTCATGTGGCGGGCAAAATAAAAATAAGAATATTTGCAAACTGTTTATGTTTGCAATAAAGGCCACCCATATTAAAGAAATTCACCACAAATTCCTGGAGCCAGGTCACACTTATATGGAATGTGACCGAGATTTCGCACTTATAGAGAAGAATAAAAAAAAGATTCCTCAAGTTTTTATTCCAAGCCACTGGAGGGAAGTAATTGCAGCTTCAAACAAAAAATTTATGATTCACAACATGACCAGAGAAATGTTTTTCTCTTTTGAAAAACTGAATCAAATAGTGAAAGATCCTAAGAAAGATGTAGACGGAAAGCCGATAAAATTCAAAGAAATTGCGTATTTTAAATATGATAAAAGCAATGAGGCATTTTCGTTTGAATTCAAACCAGTCTTAGATGCTTCATATCCATTCATAAAATGTGTTTCTGGGTCGCGTGCCTCTGGGCGACCATCATACTCGCTACAAAACTCATTCACACCACTACACGGTACCTCAGTTCCGATAAAAACAGAAAAATGGAAAAATCTGCAGACCCTTTTGGATTATATACCTCCAGTTTATCACGCGTTCTATAAAAACATGAAACATGAAGATTTAAAAAAAAGGACTAACGAAACAAAAATATGCCTGTACCAGCCATGGAATCTGGTCCTACTTCTCGCGCAGAGCCCGTATTCATCGTTGAAGAGGAAGATGAAGATGACGAGGAGCTGTTATCCGACTACGACGAATGATTAAAAACTATGATTGACAAGTATTGTTTAAATCAGTAAATAAAACTCGCATCACTTTTTTGTCTTATTGTGAGTCGATTAAGATTGAATTGGTATCTTGGTGCAAAACCGGTACAAGTGCTTCAAAATCACTTTTTTCTATGAACAAAATTTTTTTTATACTTTGCTGGTTCACCAAACATTTCAATGATATTTAGGATTCTATTCCATTTGTCTAGATACATTTATGTTATTTGCAGAATTTTAAAATAGCAAAAATCTTTAGAAGCATTTTTCTCAGAAGTAACGCAGATGCACTTACACCTTTTTTGCTCCAAGCCCTTCAATTACTAAAAGAATCACAGCGAATTCTCGAACAAGTTGATGGTACCAATGAACAAATCATGTTTCTTTTGGTCAATGCTACAATTGGTTGACATATATACAACAATAGAAAAATAATGGTCAAAATCCGTAAAAAGAAGGAAAGTGGATTCGAGCAGAGAATATTTGTAGTGAATTCTGCCGTATACACGAAGCCGCGATCGACAAAGTCGTATACAGTGCTTTTCATAAAGATCTCCCACAATTTTTTTTGCACAGGTCCGGTTAGCATGCTTAGTTCAGGATGATGAAAATAATGCATCAGCACTGTAAATGTGACAGTTTAAAATTTCAAGATGTCTGTTGACTGACATTTCAGAACATTTGTTGAAATAGAATGGGAGACATGCTTGTCTTTGAACTTCCTGATGAGGATTATCTAACCTTAGAATAAAAATTTGCTGTCTTTCAAAGTGATAGACCAGCAGGTTGTCAACCAAATTTTGCAATATTATTATTTCGTAACTTTTACGGCAATGATGGTGATTATTTCAACTTAGCCTGGATCTCAACAACGTTAGGGAATGCCATTGCCCTAGTGGAACTGATTGCACTCTATAGGAGCACTGCAGTGGTGGTGAGACAGATGCATGCCACAATTTTGTTGGTAAGGATGAATTCACTACTGTACTTTATTGCAAAAATGTTGGGAGAATACAGATATTTAGAAAAACAAAACGAAGAAAAATTAATTTTTACTACATTACAGCAAATGATTTTGGGAGATATGATTAATTCATATTTGAATGAGCAATAGAAAATTTTGATATCAAAATATTTCTGATTTCTACAACTAGCAATCACTCCAAGGAGAGTATGTGATATATAAAATAATACTGTGATGTTTTACAATTATACTTCTTCATCTCTGAAATAGTTTTAATGTATTTGAAAGAGCTAGAGAAGTTAACTAATAATGAGATAAGAAAACTTACTTTATAACTGTCAGCACAAACTCCTCATCCAACTTTATCTTATTGAGACAATTTTGTACCATTTCTTTAACCAACTTCAAGTCATTATGAGCTCCTTCATGGATTCCCCTGCAGAGTAACCTCCGTAAAAATGGTACAATGAAGGCACCTGATTTACTCAAGGTTTGCAAAACACTAGGAAGCCACTGCTTTTCTGCTAGATTTGCAACTGCTGCAGGGCTAATATCTGGGCACTGATTCTGAGACTGATAAAGAACTACCAAGAGTAATGTTGCTTCTGTTTTTAATCCTTCTACCTTTACCTTGTGACAAAAAAATAAAATTAGCAATTTTAGTAACAATATCACTTTAGTTTTACCAGTCTACTACAGTTCTTCGAGCTAGTATTAATGCAATACATTAAAACCTACATTCTTATAAAACTTTCTTCATACACATAGATAAATTATATCAGATTTGACATTAATATTAAAAATAGTAAAAAATTACCTCACTTATTTTTTCAACAAACTTCTCCAATAGTTTATTTGAAATGGCAGCTCTTGTAACCAACCTTGCTGTTATCACATAGGCTGCTGCACAGAAATCAGTGATGCTTGAATTGAGACCTTTGAGCAATGAAGGTAGCATCATAGAAACTTGGTCTTCATTGATTTTTTGTGTGTATTCTATGCTCCCAAGGAATACTGAGCAGTAAAAGTTGAATGCAACAGTGAGAACATTTGGGTTTGAGTGTTGGTTGATTAATTGAAGGATGTACCTGTAAAAAGAATTTATTCAAGAAGTTAATCAGTGCTAGGACCATAGGCAGGTTTTTAAGACTTCCTGAATCCTACAACATAAGATCCTTTCTATCTACATCTTTTGTTGAATGACCTAATGAAACTTAGTACATAGGAGTGTTTTTATGATGTGATATACTTTTTTGTGGAAAAAGTATTACTTAGGTCTTTAAGCTTATCTGTTTATTTATTAGTTGAGCTGTAAAGTATTATTTTTAATCTTTTTATACTCACTTTCCAACATGCTTCAAGAATGCACAATTACTAGCAGCATGGTTCAGTAAACTTTGTTTTGGAAGATGTACACCAGTTTTTTGAAGTGGCTTCAAAAATGAATAGTTCTCAGTCTCTTCAAATTTCATTGTCTGAATAATTCTTACAAAGAAGTTAGACTCATGGTATGGTAATGCCAGCATAAGGAGGTCATTTCTGTTATACTCATGGATTGAATACCTACATACCAACCATTCTAATGCTTTGCGAGTGCAATCCATCAGAAAATATGGTGAGAGAAGAAATAAGAATTTTCTTATGTTTTTATTGAGCTTTTCATTATCCTCTGCTACAACAGTTGATCTGTAATTTTGAACATATTTATGTTATCCAATCGTAATCTCAAGAATTAAAAGGGTACAAAGATGATAATATTAAAGCAGAAAACATGTTTACCTTTCAAAATTTTTGGATGTGATATGGAATAAAGTATTCCGGAAGATCTCGAATGCTTCATTTTTTATTATAAGTTCTTCTAATCCTTCTGAACCGATGTAAAAAACTGTTTCTCTCTTTAATCCCGCTGCTTCTTTGGCGTCGAATATAAGTGATGGCCGTTTCTTGTCCCTTTTTAATGCCGATATTTGAGGGACAGCCAACCGCTGGAGCTGTTCCGCCAAAGAAGTACTCATTTTCGTGGTAATAGTACCACAACAGTGAATAAAAACGTTTTTATGGTGGGCTCGTGCCTCACGAGCAAACAAAAAGGTTATATCGTTATATTTTGAATAACCTAACCTATATTTCAAGTGTCAAGCTTGTGTCACGCACGTCAACCACATGTCAACTATACACCGCATGCTCCATCCTTGTTTTCCCTCAACTCTTGCAAAGTAACTAAAAGATGCAAAAACCCCTAACTCAATGTTTTTTCTTTTTCATTTGATAAAATGGAATAATTATGCCATAAAACTCAGAAAGAAATGTTGAACTCTCTTAGGACAGATTTTTTGTACAAGCTGGATAAATTAACATACGATTGAAATAGAATAAATTTAAAAAAACGGGGACATTTTATTTTGTTAGAGTGCCGTCTTGCGAGCTTGTTATCGCTGTCTTTTTTCTTGACCGTCGAACGTCGTTGTTTGTGAGTCAGCTTTCGGAAGATTTTTCGTTTCGGAAAGCCGAGTCCTGAGAACAACGGCAAATCTGTCGTACGTCGAACGTTCAAACAGAAAATCTTTTCAAGTGGTTTCAAGTCAATTGGGTGCAGTTTGCAGCTATTTTTGTTTTCAAGAGTATATTTTGATTATCGTATGTCCATCCAGAATCTAAACACATTCGGTAAGTGGTTGATTTTTGTGTCTTGACCTTCATTGACTAATGGGAAGATGCTCAAAATGGCGACTATTTATTGCCAATTCCACAAGCTTTTTTCTCAAAGGCTTCTCATGGTTTATTATACACTTATCTTTAAGGACTATTATTTTGGAAAATTCGTGATGTAGATTCGAATCGATTTCTTTGGGCGTATGTATGATGACCTCGACCTAATTCATGAAATTTCAAATACTACCCACAAAAGTGCTTTTAGAAATCTTCAGACCACATATAGGGATGCATGACACCCAATTAGAACTATGAATACTATTTTCATTATTGCGTATTCGCCAAGAGAAAAATATATCATCTACCAAGGAACTATTTGTTGAAGCTTGTTTTGGCTGACTCATTCGCTATACTCGGTGGGGCCCCATAATCACAGATCTTCTAGATGCCCTCATGTAACTACATTGTTAGTCTTATAACCATTGACAAGCAAAAAAGCCATTACTGGGGCACTTTATGCTATGTGGATGGAGAACCCTAAGATTATTCAGTGGGTGGAGTCCATTTTAGGGACTCGGAACCTTTTTGAATTAACCATTGCAGAGCATTCTTGGCCACACATTCATACTTTAGAGACATTGTTGCAGTGGCAGATTTAGAGGAAGGGTGACAAAGATGCCTGTCTCTAGTAGATGCTCTAGTCTATCATATTATATATATTTTTCCAAGAAAGTCATATAGCTGTATCTTGGTGTAAGAATTATGTTGTTGGACTTGCTGCAATCAATACATATCCCAGCTATGCGACACCTCTACTCTTCAATTTTTTATTGTAAATCTCTGTTCTTCAATTTTGTTCAATTTAGATCGTGACATTACTCCCTTCTAAAAAAATCATTGAAAATTACCCATTGCCCCATATAATATGTACTCCAGAGTCTCTGAAGCAAATACTGATTTTTGACCCTTTTTTTTTTTTCTAGACCCCTTTGCTGATGCAAGTAAGGGTGCTGATGACGATGTGCAAGACGGACTCGTTCATATAAGAATACAGCAAAGAAATGGTCGCAAAACTCTAACTACAGTACAGGGACTTTCGTCTGACTATGACCTGAAGAAGATTGTACGAGCATGTAAAAAGGTATATATACACATATATATATATATATAACAGTAACATCTCAAAAGTATACAAATGTTATGGTATATTCTTTCTTATTGCTAAAAAACTTCTTGTGAGATTGATATCCTTACTTGCATTTGTATCTATTATTACTCAAATTGAACTAAATTCTCATTCATGTATTATATGATTAATATTTAGAAATATTCCTTGATAAATGAATCTAAAACATTTCATCAGCTAAGTGTTGTTAATGTTTTGCCTCTTTAACTCTTTTTAGATATTAGATATGGTCTAACATCATCATTGACTTGCCATATTTGGTTAGAAAATGGAATTCTAGAAATCTATAATTCATGTAAAAATTAATATAGATTGATTTTGTATGTTTGATCATATATTTTGTATGCAAATATATTTAAAAATCTTATTGACCCTGCAAATGTTTGTTTGTAATGTATCATAACTTGATATGAAGATTTTATCATATTAAACAAAATTAGTTATTTATTTAAACTGATATGTAGATAATTTGTTCTTCATTGATAGTTTGGTTTTTGAAAATCCCGCTAGTACACATGCATTATGTCCTGTTACATCTAGATATTCATATCAGTCTTATGGATTATCATTATGTATAATCTAAACAAATACATTGCAGTGATAATGGTGGAAGATAATAATAATCTATATAGTCCAAAATGAGTTTGTCTAGCCTCACTCAATCAAAAAGTAATTATCTTGAGAAGAAAATGGGTTTTAATACACTACTTTTTATCACTAATGAAATTAGTCATTATTCCTCTAGTGGACTGCACACTATCTTAAAAGATCTTATTCCTGCAGAAAATGTAGTTTTAAATCATCCACCAATATTTTGTTTGTGATGATTTTTTTTTTTTTTGTTTACAACTGAGTTATCGGTTTCATGTATATTGATTTATTGTTTGTGTTTAACTTTTGAATAGTCAGATGCTACAACCTGAGGTCGATATTATAATCTCATTTAATGTTTGATCACTTAATTTGAGAGTGAATCCATTATTTACTTTACCTCATCACAGCCTGAAATATGCTATGTACTCACCTGTTGATAGGGCACTGATTCTTATAAATTCTAAAGATATTGAAATATTGGGTATTCTTTTTTCTAGATTTAAAAGCACTATAATAGAATTAATTGATTTTTTATTTGTTGGCTAATATACTTGGTTTATTATCGGTTAGGTATTATTATATTTAAACATTATATTTTTATTTTTTTTGTAGTGGGGTTGATCCTGGCTAAATAAATTTATTGTTACAGGAATTTGCATGTAACGGGACAGTCATTGACCACCCAGAGTACGGAGAGGTACTTCAGCTGCAGGGTGATCAGAGAGAGAATATATGCCAGTGGCTGACAAAAGCTGGACTAGCAAAACCAGACCAGCTGAAAGTCCATGGTTTCTAAAACACCTTCAATGTGTTGAAAAAATTCAATAACATAAAATACACATAATAAACACAATATGTAATGTCTCAGTTTTATTTGGTACCACGCGGAATTTTCAACAGTCATGTGCCCATTCAGAATTGCCGAACGATGAAAATTGGCGATTTTGTACAATAATTTTATAATTGTGCCTTTCACGAATATATTAGTTTCAGCATTTTCAATTTTTCCTCAATGTTGTCTGTGTTTAGTTGTGTTATGAGAATTAAGAATCGGTAATAAATGTGTGGACTAGAATTGGTTTTTATTGAAATTCCCATCCAAACCCCAAATAGATTTTCCATTGAATTAGGTGCTTCTATGCTGTTTCAGGCATGATCCAGCTTTATCTTGACATCTGTCTAGTTGGTGCAAAATTAATGTTCTGAAAGATGTTCGTCTTATCAGCAATTGAAGAGGGGGGGATTGCATGCTTCAGCACTTGATCATTGCTTCTGAGAACAGATGTCATTGAATGAATGATTCTTGAAATTAGAGGTATACCGGCCACCATAAGGAGCCAGTGCATAGGCCGCTTAAATGGGCCCTTAACCTCTACATTCTTTAGATCACAAGCCTCGCTTTTTTAGCGACATTGAGAATCGCCTTGACGTCCTGAGGGTTCAAAGTAATGGACCCCAGTATAGTCTGCCTATAGTAGCTTCACAGCGACACAAAACGTGCGCCGAGGTCTCTTCCTCTACCCCACAGCGTTCACACAAGGGATTCTCAGCCACCCCCATCACGTGCAGGTGGCGCCTTAACGTGTTATGGCCAGACAACAGTCCCACCAGCAACCTTAGGTTGGCTCTATCCAGAGATAGGCAGAAACGTCCATCCTTAGCACTGGGCTCTTCAATGAGTTCCCGTGCCTGGCGGAGATGTCTGGAGATACTTCTCCATTTCCGAGAGTGTTGTCTTGCAACCCACGTCTCCATTTTCCTCATAGGAACAAATGCCATTATGACATTTGAAGAGCAGACGAGATATGCATCACGATTTAGGTCTAATATGGTAATTTACACCAAGACCCAGCAATATAAATCATTTTCCTGAAAAAAAAAGGCAGACTTGGGAGCCCTTCTTTAAATCCTTCTGTGAAAGTCTACTGATCACAAAACTTATTTAATAATGGTAGTTAACGAGTTCTCTCGTAGGGATCCAAATACTGAAAGCACTAATATTTTACAGGAAACCGGGCTTAATATACAAAGTACCAGGAGCAAGTCAAATATTCCAATGGATGCTAAGTCCAGAGTTGCTTTCTATTGGAGATGCAAAAGGTGAAGTTTGGTGCCTTAGCCCATGTGATTCGCCGCTTGCACCATTTTACGAAAACTAACTCGTCCACATGTACAACGCTTACAATATATACAGGGTGTCCCAATGAAAATAGAAATTTGTTTAATAGAAAAGCTGCATAGGATATTCGAATACGGTTTGAGCACCAAGATTTTTATAAGCGTGTATCTGTAAATTATTTGGAACCAGAAGAGTGTTACAAAACTCCGTGTCATAACAAACATTTTTTGTTTAATGGAATACCCTATATTACATTAGATATTTGTAGTCCTCAGAAAACAAGAAAATTGGTATACTGTCGGATTTGTAATTTTCGTTTAATTATTTTATTTGTCTAAAAAATGCCTATCCTTAAAGGCTTAGACTTTTATCATTTTTTGTAGTTTTTCACTGAATTTTGGAAATAGATTTAAAAATACGCCAACTTTAGGCAGCAGCGGTGGCCGCAGTAGTAGACTCTTCGGTCTCCTGATCAGTCGCCGTACGCTGTGCGGGTTCGAGTCCCGTCCCAGGAGAAATTTTTCTCTTGGCTATGGCTGTTGTCATTATCTGTAGGTGGTAGATGGTCTCTGACTGTCGGACGTGGTAGTACCACCCGGCGGATCTCGTAGGCGGAGCCAGAATGTGTGCATGTTGCATGCACACGTGTTCCCTCGCCAGAGACCGTGTGGCGTCCCCCCCTTTTCCCATGTATGCCCCTATAGCCCCACGGTACCCAATGGGTGCTTAGACCTTAGGCCTTCGGGGTAGTTGGAGTATAAAAAAAACTTGATCAGGGTGCTGCAAAACTTTATTTACCTCAAAAATTTGAAATGGAACATCCCGTATATTTTTGCATCGTCAGATCCGCGTTTTTATAGGTTTCTTCTGATATCAGGCTTATTACTACATATTAGAACGGTTATATGATGAGAATTCCATGATTGTTGTGCAACACTCTGTATCTGTATCTCCAAACAATTTAGGAATACACACCTATAAGATGTCAACCTTGCTGCGCAAATCGTTTTTGAATGACTTTAATAATTTTTCTATTAAACTACTCGCCAATTTTGTACTATTGTACGTGTTCGCGTGTTTTTTATTATTATCTTTAAGTCTACAAAGACGAGCTACAGTTTTCGTAAAATTAAAATTGAGCGGTGGTGAAATTCCATTCAAGGGTTAACTGGATTCTGAGGGGGAGCCTCATAGGCGCCCATGTAAGGAATCTGAACATACAAGGTGTCCGCAAAGTTGGGGTTTTCCTTTGCACGACGTGTAGATCTTGAGAAAAGAAGCAGATTTTCTTAGTAGCATATATATGTACACCGATGTCTTAAGAGAACCGAGATATTGGGCTCCGCAAACTCAGTCAAACCTGAACCAAACCGAAAACGGTCCTGTCCTATCACGTCCACAGCACCAGCTTACAGTTATACGACGTACGACTACGATGTAAATACGGATTTTACGACAGAGCCGTACTTGGAATTTCAATTCAACTGAACAGTGAGTACTTTTTCATTTGTTTTTAACTTGTTCCCTCACGTTTCACCACACATTAGCTTTGTTATATCAAGAGTAGTTGTGTCTGAAAAATTTGCGAGAATCCTGTAAAAAATATATTTATTCAACATGGTGCTCCAAAAAAGCAATTCTATCAGATGGCTCACTATGGTACAAATACCGCATTCTCAAATGGCTTGCAGAGAAATATTTCAAAGGACACTAAAAACAAAAATATCGTACAGCATGCAATTATTTCGTCAGTCGATAAAATCTCTCTTGCATCTTCATATGTAGGTATATATGAGCCTATGTATGCATTGATGAGCTAGGGCTACTATCAGGAAACAAAAAAGTGTGTTAAGCGTAAAGCCACAAGTGAACAGGATGGGAAGAATAGGAGATCCTGTGACATATTGGTTGCTGGCAACTTTGCAACACATTCCTGTTACAGCTTAGACAGGACCGGAATCGCATCGATTAATGTAGGATCCCGAATTTCACTCTGTCCCGAACCCCCCCTCAGTCGCAGTTTCGGCTTTGCGAGGGTCTCAATTTCATTTTCGCCCGATGGATCATAGAAGTCCCATTTCCACTCGAAATAAGCTTACGCCGCATTTTTTAGCACTACAGTACAATCTCATTGTCCTGGAAGATCACCTTTGTGATAAAAACATATACTACAGTAAAGAAGATCTGTGAATATATGTCGTTTTATTTGCCAGACAAGCATGGAGGGATTAATATAATGTGTTCTAATATACATGACGTGTTTGGCTTCCCAATTATCAACAGTGCCAAGGTAGAAAGCATGAACTTCGTTCAGCCTCGGCACCTCTACTCTCCCGCGAGGGCTTCAAGTTAACCTTTCCATTTCTGAAGTTTCCAAGACCGCCCCTGTTTGGCTAGATCGCGAGCGTTTGTTCTTCCATGTTCTAGAAACCCTCGCAATATGGTTTCAAAAAGGAAAGTCTGCCATAAATGCACCTAGTGCAGTGGCATAGTTATCTAAGTAGCGGATAGCGGCAGCTACAATTGTAAGAAGCCTTGCGTTATGTTTGCTTTTGACGCTAAGAACGCCTTTAACACGGCCCAGTGGCAGAAAATTGTCGAATCTCTTGAGATGCTAGCCACCCCTAGCAATTTTTTGAACATAAGAGCTACTTTCACGAGAGGGCACTTTCTGTTAGTGCAAAAGACGTTGAAGACAGGCATTGGAGTGCCGCAGAGCTCCGTCCAAGGGCCGTTGCTTTGGAATGTGTTGTACGATGGGGTTCTTCGGTTACAGATGCTGCCGGGAATTCGCTTGATACGAATAAGGTATGCTAACGACCTTGCGATTATAGTTACCTAGCAAGGACTCTTGACATACGGAATCGCGAGAATTACCATATGAATGGAAGCAAATGGCTTGAAATTAGCTCCTGAGAAGACGGAAGTAGTTATAGTTTCTAAAAAACAGAAGATAACTTAATTAGCTGTTAAGGCTGATAATTCAGATATTCGGAAAACGCAATTAAGTATCTGAGTGTGTGGCTTGACAAAGATCTGCTGATAATTGAACATATATGGCTAATGCCATTTGACGGAATCCCCAGTAGTGTGAGGCGCAGGATTTTGGCAGGGGTGACAAGCTGCTATATATAGGAAGGCATTGAGGAGAAAGAAATATACAGGTAGACAGCTAATACTGTGAGGCCAGCGAAAAAAAGTGCTGCGCGTGGTATGCGCTCACAGAACGGTGTCGACCCAGGCCGGGTTGATGGTAGTTGGTATCCCGCCATTTGATTTTCTGGCTGCGGAGAGATGCGCACTCTATAAAAAGGGCGTCGAAGCTACTCGCGACGAAAGAGAGGTGCTTTTTTTCAGATGGCAGGAGCGATGGGATGCATCTGGCCACGGTGCATGGACTAGAAGGCTCATCCCAGATATCAAGGAGGTAAGGGAGAACAAAAATAGACCAAGGAACATATCGTAGGCCTCTATTTTGCTCGGTTGTACATGTACAAAGGTATATCTAAATATATGTGTACGGTAGAGAATGGATTACTAATTCCTTCGATATGAAAACCTAGCGCAACGCTACACACTATGAAGAAATGCAGCAAGCATTACAGTGGTGGGATGTGTGGCGAACGACTGAAGGGTTTTAGTGAGTATGCCATTTCTGGCAGGAAGGGTCGGCAGGGAAATACTGTCGAGTTTTTCTGCCTGTGAGTGGCTATAAAAGCTTGTCCTGCCAAAAAAAAATGTACCAGAAAGTCGCAAGCGGCTACCTCCTAGATTCGTCCCTGGGTATCCCGCGCGCCACTTCCCCGTATATCGATTCACGCCAACCGCCTCCGACGTGTGAAGTGTCGGCAACGCGGCCGCCCCCATCAGCTGTTATGGCGCCGGCCTGTGACTCTCCCCACTCCCACAACTCAACAGGTCGCCTGTGGACGGTGTCAGAGGCTGCAGGCCAGGCATGCCACTACGGGGCACCTCCAGGGGCCACTATCGGGCCACTTGTCGGCCCCACGCAACTGGGGGCGGCCGAAGGACACCTGCCCTCATCTCAACGGCACCTTGTAGTTGTCTCGACGCGGACGGCACTTACGTGTGTACCGCCTTCAACCCGGGATGCTACATCATACAGAAGGTGAGTGAACATATGGTAGCGTAGAGCATGTTGTTGTTATGGTTCAGATGCTTGACAGATGATGATGGTGCTGCTTACTCATAAAGATGGCAAATAGTTACTTTGAATGCTGGTTGTTAATCGAGAAATATTTTTTAAGAACCTGTTCAAAAAATGTCGTTAAGTAGATTGACTCTGTAGTCCCCGTGCAATGTTGTTGATTTAAAGTTTAAAGGTAATGATCTAATCCAGTTTTTTTGTACTCAAATCTCAAAAATAAGAAATCTAGAAATCTAGAAATAAAACGAAAAGTTCGTATACACATGGGACCTAGAACGCTTCCTTATCGGGATACAGGGTGTTGAAGCTATAGTTTCAAAATCGTAAAAAATACATCTCCGAAGTGGATTATGGTACTGGCGTGAAATGTTGTGTCTATGATAGCAACACTATGACTAATACATACAAAAATAATCGTGGCTCATGTTACGACAGTTGCATAGAATTGAGGAAATTTTGACCCATGCAAACAAAAATATTTTCTACTCCAGTGACTTTTCTGAAACATCCATTGTATTTTTGAATAAGTTATTCAATTTTACATGAATTGCCTCTCGTGAAAATGTGTGTCAAACTAATCCTTTTGGAGAAATATAGGTTTGGACAATTGAGGTAAAATCCATATGAAAACTATTATTTTTTAATTTGAAAATACAACGGAAGTCATGTTTGCATTGAAAATTGTATGCAGTGTATTAGGAGGGTAATATACCATCTCATCATAGAGTTATTTGAACAATTTTCGATTTCGTACTTGTTCAGCCTCATCAGTCGCATATAAATTTACAACATCCAATTATCTCGGTACTGGGACATTTTAGGACCCGGACAAGAATTGTTTTTGTTAATTTTTATATACTTTCTAAGCTAGAGTATTACCTTTGTTGTTTTCATGACCCTATAAGCTCAAAAATATTAATGATCCTGCATTAGATTAAAAAAAAACGATTACTGGAAATATTACAATTATATTCATCGAAATTTGGTGCGAACTGAAACTGCTCCTATTATAGAAAGATTGTACAAATAGGCAATTAAAATGCCTCTTACATTTTTCAAATATCTGGTAATATATGTAAGCAAATTCGTATAAACTGATGCATGAATTAAATACCGAAATAAGATTTACCAATGAAAATTACTGAGTAATACAAGTAAGCACACTTACACCATATTTTCGAAATCTCCGATATTTCATACCGGCAAATGTCTTAGAAATTGATGAGCATGACTCTTGCAACCAATTTTCTATCTTAAAGCCAACCCGACACCGTACAACCGTATCAAATTTCATTTGTTTCGCAAAAATGAAAAATTACCCAGCAGTCTTAAATTTTGAGGTTTCCTATAAAAAATATTTCAATAGCGTCTGTATATCAATGATTCTAGAAAAACTGAGTGGGTAGATTCCGAGTTCTATACCAATTTGACATTAGAACCCATGAGGGCCGTTAGCGCCACATTTTCTACCTATAATCGGCAACCTTTCAGCTCATTTTTTGACGTCTCGCTAGAACGTAGTGCCCCAAATTATCTGCCAAGTTCCATTCGCTTGTAAAAACAGTAGATGAATTTACCATTTTCCCACTATTACGAGCG